GCCTTGTGAATGTGGTTTCTGCCCCTTTATTTCCAGCAGAAACAGCTTGCAGTCCAGAATGAGGAAAGGAAGCAAATACAGTTTGATATTTAATCATTTTCTCTTAGTTGTCCAGAGGGAGTAATTCATATATTGATGTTTCAGTTGAAATAGAATTTGTCTTCTCCAAAGTGGTCTCCACGTGAAAGAATACACTAGATACAGAGGCAAACTAGTGAGAAAGGAAGAGTTGCAAGCAGTTCATTGGCCCTTCTTATTATAGCAGATATATTTTGAGGGTCATACAAAGTACGCAGCATGGGGTTAAATTTGCGAACAAAATAGAAAAATCCTTGCCTTTATGGGCTTCCAGTCTAGAGACAGAGACAGATAAAAATTAAGGAAATTACTCAGTGCAGCTGACCCTCTGTACTGCAGATTTCCCCTTCCTTAGTTCAACCAACCATGGCTGTGAGTACAGCCATATCAGGAGCTTGAGGATCTGCAGAATTGGGATCCTTGAGGGTCCTGGAACCAATCCCCTGTGGGTACGGAGGGTGGACTGTGTTGGTGACCACATCACACCTCCCAGAACTTTTTCATGCTTCCTATTTCCCTCACATTATAAGCCAGATTCTTTATAATATTCTAAAGGCCTTACAGGATCTGCCACCCACTCCACCTCCTTACCTTTCTCACCTCCTTGCCAGTCACCATCCCCACACCTCAGTGGTCTCCATATCCCTCAGACATGGCAGACATGCTCCTTCCTAACGAACTCTGGCTACTTCCTCTGCCTGAATGTCCCCCTAGATAAATCCTTTCATTTACTTCCTCCCGTCCTTCCTGTCTCAATATCACCTTTTCAGTGAGGCCTGCCCTGACCAACTTATTTAAATTACAATCCACTACCTTCCAAACAATCCTGATCTCTCATTTCTGTGGTCTATTTTTTTCTGTAGTAGTTCATGATTTTTAGCATATAACTTATTTGTGAGGAAGGTTTAATGGGGCAGCGATCTTCATTTTGTTTGCTGAAGTATATTAAGTGCCTACCTAGAATAGTAATTGGCACCTGGTAGATACTAGGTAAAAACGTTAAACGATTAAGAAGGGTTGTGTTAGTTTCCTGTGGCTACTATAACAAATTAACAAAGCCTTGATGGTTTATGAGATCAGAGATTTATTCTCTCATGGTTCTGGAGGCCAGAAGTTCAAAATTATGGCAGTGCAGGACCTTACTTCCTCCAAAGGCTCTAGGAGGAGAATCCAGGGCAGAATCCATTCTTTGCCCGTTTTGGCTTCTGGGTGCCACAAATGTTCTTTGGTTTGTGGCAACATCACACCAGTCTCTTTTCTTCTTCTATCTCAAAAACCACTCTACCTCTGGTTTATAAGGATACACGCAGTTTGTATTTAGGGCCTGCCTTGATAATCCAGGATAAGCGGCTCCTTGCAAGATCCTGAACTTAATCACATCTTTCATCATATAAGGTAATAGTCACACTTTTGCCACATAGAATAATATTTACAGATTCTGGGGATTAGGTCATAAATGTGTATTTTTTGTGGGGAGGGAGGTCACCATTTACCTACTACAGGGGGTTAAGGGGATCCTTTGGTTGCAGTAGGAAGAATTATCCCTGGTGTACTACCTAGTAGAACAACAAATGGAAGACTGCTTTCATCTTTTTTCTCCTCCATTTTTTTACTGAAATTTTTATTGAGATCACATTATTTTTTTCAAATTCAAAAAAACATACACATGCATAGTTACATACAGAAGAGTACAAAGGATAATATTATAATTTCCATATACCAACCTCCTCAGTTGTTGACACATTGATATAGTTGTTTCATATCTTCTGTTGACCCTCTTATAAGGAAGTACACATTACAGATAAACTCAGAATCTCATATCTTCCCTTTCCTATTTCCATTTTCCTCCCTGCGTATCTAGAAACAGTCACTATCATTAATTTGGTGTATGACCAATCTATATTTTACAGCTTTTTTGCACATCTAACTACTCATACATAATATATGGAGTGTTTTGTGTTAAAATGTTTTTTACAAATGGTATTATACTATGTGTAGCATGCTGCAGTATGCTTTTTTATCAACTCAGGTTTATACATATGGATCTAGTTCATTCATTTTAACTGTAGTTCTGAATGGCTGGTTCTCTCTCTCTCTTTCCTGGCTTCAGAATGTATAAATCCCAGAGAAACCCTCTGATTAGCCTAGCTTGAGTCCCATGCCAGCACCTGTTGGATCAGGCTGTGGCTTCAGCAGATACAGCATTAGAATTTTTCTATCCTGGAGTGCATGCCTACCTCTGGACTCACTGAGAGCCTCTGGGTACATTGTTTGTAGCTCCCCTTGGGATCACATGTGTTTGAAAGACTGTTCCAGGAAAAAGTGGAACATGAAGCAAAGTGCAGGGACAAAAAACACAGATTTCTACTCCAGCTTCAAGTTGGCTTGGACATTACTTCTCTGACCCCCGGGATTGTGTTCTGTGCCCTTGTATTTCCTATCATTGTAGCAATTACTAATGTAGTATCTTAATTGCCCTCTCCTCTTGATGTGTACTAATTCAGGGCAGAGACTGTGTCTGTCTTGTTTTATTGTTGTATATCAGGAAATATAAGGTCTGCACATTGCCATTAGATAGATGCTCAAACCGTGTTTTTAAGTGAATGACTCCACCAACTAGCAGAACTTTCTGTCTCACTTTCTATACACAGGTTCCTGTCCACTTCCTATGAACTCCATAGAAATCCTATGGTGCTTTTGCACATGCCTTTCAGGCGCATTAAAATTCTGGCTCTTTTTTGCATATTTTGGCTTATATGGATGGTTTGGCTCTGTTTGGAATTTTATTTGTGTTATTTAATGGTGAAAATGTAAGAAAAGATGAAATTGCTAAAACATAAACTCAGACTTCCTCTGTAAGATCTTTTGAGATAAGCCCTGCCTAGCCTTCTTCACCCCAGTATATTTATCTTTCATGTTTGCACAGTAATTTCTTTCTAACCTCAAATATACCATTAGCAGAATTGATTTTATGCAAATATATTTCTTGATACTATTTTTAAGCATCAGGAGAATTTGGATTCCAATGGATGTAAAATGTGAATAATTCTATTTGGAAATAGTAGTAGTAGTAATTGTAATAGCTGTTAAGATTTATTGAATCTTTCTTCTGTTCCAGGCATGTAGAAGTATGCCATCTTTATGCCTATTATGCAGATGAGAAAACTGGATCTCAGAGAGATCAGTGATCTATCTGTTAAACTTATTTCAGCTCATAAGTGGTGCTGGGATATGAATTTGTGTATCCTGAGCTGAGAGCCACATTCCTAAAATTGTGTTCTATTGCCTTCTGAAATCAGGAAAGGAAACCTGGGGTTTAGTAATAGAAAAGAACATCAAACTGATCACAGATACAGAGTGAAGTTTCTGCCCGAAAGCTTTGGTGAAGATAATGAGGGAGAAATAGCCAAAGTCTTGGACCTGCATTCCCTTGGCCTCTGTGAGAAGAGAGAGAGCCAAGGTGTGTGGAGGTAGAGCTGAAGCCATGTGCTTTGATATGAACTGACACTGTGTTGCCTGGAATATTGGAGAGAGCCTTTGAGAAATACAAAGTACCCAATGCATTTTCTGTCTCCAGCATGCAAGTTGGTGGTTAGCCCTGGGAACCTGGCCATGGTAGGAGTCATTTAACCAGGAAGACATTGAACATTTGGATAAACATTTAGGCACAAAGTTTTACATACAGTACTTACATGAAGCAAAGTGCAGGGAATTTATAAGCATGTCACTGAAACTTTGTGGGAGAGGCAACCTGAGAAGTTAATAGCAGACAGGTAATGGAATCTGATTATACATGTCATTATTAGTGAAGATGTGGCACAAGGCCATTGATACTACTAATCTTTATTGTGCTATTTTAAATTGGTATATATAAGGGCTATCATATGTTGGATCTTAGTGTCTGTCTCCTGGTTCTGTATTTACTCTAAAGACTCAAATTTAGCTCTGAATTATCTTACTGAATTCTCTTATATGTTCTTAGGAAGAAAACTCCTACATTGGATCAGATTACTGATATCACTAAACCAGATGGAATAATCTGTGCTCTTTTGAACCTGTCTCCTCTGCTAGGTTACTGTAAGCACTATTATAGTACTCGGCTCAGTTAGGTACAACACATAGCCGTGCCTTGCTCAACAACAGGGATATATTCAGAGAAATGCATCATTAGACAATCTCATCGTTGTGTGAACATCCTGAAGTGTGCTTACACAAACCTAGATGGTAGCCTATTGCTCTAAGGCTACAAACCTGTACAGCATGTTACTGTACTGAGTACTGTAGGCATTTTTTTTTTTTTTTGAGTAGGAGTGTCACTCTTTAGCCCACGCTGGAGTGCAGTGGCATGCTCACAGCCATTGTAGCTTCGACCTGCCGGGTTCAGGCTCAGGTGATCTTTCCACCTCAGCCTTCCAAGTAACTGGAACCACAGGTATGCGCTGCCATGCCTGGCTAATTTTTTGATTTATTATAGAGGCAAGGTCTTGCCAAGTTGCCCAGGCTGGTCTCGAACCTCTGGACTCAGGCAATCCTCTCACCTCTGCCTCCCAAAATGCTGGGATTACAGGTGTGAGCCATGCGCTCAGCACTGTAGGCAATTGTAACACTCTAGTGTTTATATATCTAAACTTAGAAAAGGTAATGTGTTGTGCTATGGCATTGTGATGACTGCCACATCACTAGGCTGTTGGAATTTTTCAGCTTCATTATAATCTTATGGGACTGCCATCATATGTGTTTTCTGTCCTTGACTAAAATGTCAGGCTGTGTGTGACTGTAAATATTCTGTGGGTTTATATTTAGACTAATAGTGCTACTTGCATGGTATGTCTATTCCAAACTGAGGTTATCTTATTTCTAGCCATAAAAAGTAGTTATAGGATAAATGGATGGTATTAAATTGTACTTTTATCCCTTTCTAGGTTGCATCCCAGCGCATTAGCTCAGTGGACCTCTCCTGTTGCAGCCTGGAACATCTTCCTGCCAACCTCTTCTACAGCCAAGACCTCACTCATCTAAATTTAAAACAAAACTTCCTACGGCAAAACCCTAGCCTGCCAGCTGCCAGGGGGCTCAATGAGCTGCAGAGGTGAGCCTGGTGAATCATTAGGAGAGGAGAAGGGGTTACAGAATCAGCTTCTGGTTGTTATCTCTTGAATATTCGAACTAAAAAAGCTATAGTATATAAACTTTCTCTTTCAGAGAACAGATAATTGGACTTTGTTTATTAGTGAGGACATTGTTTATCAATTCTCATTCTGACTTTGAAATTAATGATTTATGATATTTATTAACTGGATAGATTTGTATAAACAATTCTCTTTAGACCACTTTTATTCCTTAACTTATCTAAAAGTACATCTGCAAAAAGTCAATAACATTTAGGATGTTACTTTTGAACCTCAGGGGTTTGTTCAGATTAAATTATTATTATTATTTTATTTTTAAAAAAATTTACAGAAGGCTAGTTTTTTTTTCCTCCCGTGAAAAATCATTTCCTTAGAAATTTAAGAACCAAGGTTTAAATCTTTTCACATCACGTCATCTGGTTGATTAGTGTGTAGGTTTCAAGAGTCACATGTTAAATGAATAGGATCTCTTCCTTTATAACTAAAGAAATGGAACTTACTTTGCGTGTCTCCTAAACAGATTTAAGAATTTGTTATATTCATTTCATCTCCCTTTTGGACCAGTAATCAATCTTGATTGATTAAGTCTCTGATACTTATTTGTTGCAAATATATAACTATAATTGCAAAAGAATATAGCTGTTTAAAGAATTAGTGGCTAGTTCATTTGTTTTCAAATGACTGATATGATCAGAGATTAAACTATGGTAATTAACCATTGTGATTCTGTGTGTATGGTTTTTGACACCTAGGAAGACTAATTCAGTAATTGCATATTACAAAGTTTGTGAATGTAATTAAAAATAGAAGAGCAATTTAATTCTTTTCAGATAATTGTGAATATTCTTCTTTGATACTATACCAAAATTTGACAAGTGGTCATTTCTTTTTTTTGTTTGTTTAATATATAATGTCAATTGCAGACATTTTTAAAATGCTAATTACTTTGTTAATGTAGTATACTTTGTATATATAAAAGAAATGGAGTCTTGCTGTGTTGCCCAGGTTGGTCTCAAACTCCTGACCTCAAGCAGTCATCCTACCTTGGCCTCCCAACGTGCTGAGATTATGGTATGAGTTACTGCATCTGGCTGGCCATTTCTTAAATGTTAGTTCAAATGCGGATTCTGAAACTCTATTGGTGACTTTTTTGAATTCTTTAACATTAAGATCCAATGATCTGTCTTGCACTTTGAATGAATATTTACTCATGTATCATTTTTTACATTAAGTATTTTATTTGGAAAATACTAGCTTTATTGTGTAGCACAGTTACTCCAAATGTTAACATGTTTCATTATGCAATCTTGAGAAATCACATTTGTTGATATCATCACTGATATCATTAGAAGAGTCTTTAAGTATTAGGAAGTTCTCAAGCTTACTGTAGAAAAAGATTTCCAAAATTTTGATTTTTAGTTAAAAGCTTGAATGCTATCATTGCCAACAAATACCATCAGTTGTTTTTCCTGAAGCACCCATCTTGCTACATTTTTGAGAAAATGTGTTCCAAATACCCAAGTATGAATAACAATAATTTGTTAGTTCTTTTAACTAAAAGTGGTATTCTATGTAAATAGTCACTAGTTGGGCTCACAATTCAACTCATACATCATATGCTGAGATTACAGGTGTTTATTATGTGTTTTCCTTCAGATCACCTTCATACTTTAGTATGCACCCGAAGTGCTTTATGTGTACTTCCCGTTTCATCACCCAGAAAATTAAAAGACATGCTTGTACTCAAGGGATAGAGATGTAATAAAATAAAACATTTTTAAAAATCTTTCCTGAATTATCAAGGACATTCTTAAGTAAAACTGGCATTGTAAAGTGTTTTAAAGAATATTTTTACTATGATTATCTGGCAGAGAATATAGAAGAATATGATGACATCTGGGATAGTTTGGTGCTGCAAGACTCCAATAAAGATATTGTGCTCAAGCAATTACTTATGGCTCACTGTAACTGATGGGTACTATGAAAGTAAACCCCATCGGAATTCTTGAACTTAGGTTTTTTTAAGCCCTATGTATTGGTATTAATAATTAGTACTGGCCAACAAAAGAAACAAATATTGAATGATTCCATTTATATGGGGTACTTGAGTAGTCAAAACCATAAACAAAAAATAGCATAGTAGTTGTTAGGGAATGGAGAGAGAATGAAGAGTTATTGCTTACTGGTTCAGAGTTTCAGTTTTTCAGAATGAAAAGTGCTCTGGACATGAACGTGTGATGGCCGCACAATGTGACTAAACTTAATATCACTGATCTGTACACTTTAAAAGGGTTAAGGTGGCAAATTTTATGTTACATGTACAATGAAAAAGTATAGTTTTTACATAAAATTTACACATAAATATCTATTTAATACTGAGGATAGAAAATTGTTACTGATAATAAAAAGTAAAATAAATAATTTATAATGGCATTGCAATAATTAAGTTAATATGATTTTTTTGTTGAGGGCTACATTGTTATCCAATCTGTTCTTGGGTTTGAAGTTGTTTTGAAATATGTTTGCAAATTTACAGAAGTGTAGGTTTTTGTACTTTATTAAAGAACATCAAGGACTTTCTATCATACTGCAGGATTCTAGTGTCTTAGAACAAAATGGGCATTAGAATTCATCCGAACTAATGTTTTTTTTAGAGATGAGGTATATGGAGGATGTTAAAAACCAAATTCAGGTTAATAGTTACCTTCTGGGGATGGAGTTAAGGGGATGAGATTAGGAATGGTTTGAAGAGAATTTCAGCTATATCTTTAATGTTTATTTCATTAAAAAGAAATAGAAATTAGAGGCAAAAATTTTAATATCTGGATAGTGACTAACTGGATGAACATTAATGTTTTCTGTGTGTCTCTATTTGAGTATTTTATAATAATCTAAACATCTGAAACCTAAAGAAAAAGAAAATTAAAATACTTCTTTTTTTTTTTTTGAGTTGGAGTCTCACTCTGTCGCCCAGACTGGAGTGCAGTGGCCACTCCCGGCCACCGCAGCCTCGACCTGCTGTGCTCCGGCGATCCTTCCACCTCAGCCTTCTGAGTAGCCGGAATTACAGGTCTGCGCTACCATGCCTGGCTGATTTTTTGATTTATTGTAGAGATGAGGTCTCGCTGCCCAGGCGGGTCTCGAACCCGCGGGCTCAGGCAATCCACTCACCTCAGCCTCCCAAAGGCACGGGATTACAGGTTGAGCCACCAAGCCTGGCAAAATACTTCTTATTACATGGTAGAATGTGATACTTTAAAGAGCCAGTATTCATGGAATAAATGAATATCTTCATGGAAGTATATTTTTATTTGTATATTTAAGGAATTTATGCTAATAAATCTCTAGTATATGCTACACAGGGAACGTGTTTAAGAGATACCAAAGAGTAATTTGTTTTTATGTTCTTAGCTAAGTCTCAAGGAATTAGTTTTTATATTACAGTGTCAGGGCAGATATCCAGGGAGAAACTGTAAGTATGATGGAGTTATAATAGGTAAGAATTCAAAGACTTTTTATCTTAAGTACATATCTCCTCAATTTTTCTTTCTATTACAACGTTTCACCTTAAGAAATGAGCTATTTTCATAGAACATTCAAATTGCTATTTGCACGAGCATTCTAAATCTGGAAAGATGGCATGCTGATGTACATACACAGGTCAGCAGTTTCAGAGGGAAAACATTGTTCTTGGAACTACTACTGTTTGTTTTTCCTTTATTGGCATTGGAACTCTTCGAATTAGTTTTTAAAATGTAGAGGAGAGGCAAACATCAGAGTAATTTTTGGTGGTTTTATGGTTTTTTTTCCAATTATATGTTGGTCATAATACCTAAATGTATTAGTTATCTCTTTTATTAATAGATAATACTTCATTTATGTTAACTATATCTCTAGTCAGATGACCCAGATGGTCTTAATTCTAAGATTGTTGTTATTTACAATGGAGAATGATTTTTAATAAACTATGGTAAGTTTCTTTGTAGAGTTAGTGAAAAGGACAGCTTTTTACTTCTTTAAATTTTCCTTCCATATCTTACTTTATTTTTAAAACATGATAACAAAGCAGTATGCACTTATTTGCACTAAATTATAATGATGTCCAAGCATTTTACTTTCCTGATAAATTTATCTCTTACAAATGTATCATTTATTTATGTATCATTTATTAGTGTCATTGGTAGAATCACTGAAGCACCTGGAGTATACAAATATAGGGGAGGCAAAACTTTAACTGTACCCTCATAGAGTCTCCATCTGGACCTGAGAATTAAATGGACGTAAATAAAGTATTAACAGGAGAAAGGCACACAGATTTGTACATATACAATGGAACCCCCACAGGGAAATGATGACTCAAAGAAGTGACAAAGCCTAAGTGCTTTTATACTTACTGGGTTGAACAAAAAGAGGGAATTGTGGAAAAGCAGCTAAAATATATGGGGAGACCAAAGAAAGTAAGATTTATATCAATAAGGTCTGTTTGTACAGAATTCTCTTTGCCTTGGTTCTCTATCTTGGGTAATAATGTTACTTTCCTCTTGGCATAGGGAGGACATGCTTACATGGAAGTTTTCTCTTGATTTTAGGAAGAAAAGAGGAGGTCAGAGCACTCTTCTTTTTTTTTTTTTTTTTAGTTGGAGTCTCGCTCTGCTGCCCAGACAGGAGTGCAGTGGCCGCTCCCGGCCACTGCAGCCTTGACCTGCTGGGCTCCGGCAATCCTTCCGCCTCAGCGATCCTTCCGCCTCAGCCTTCCGAGTAGCCGGAATTACAGGCATGTGCTACCATGCCCGGCTGATTTTTTGATTTATTGTAGAGATGCAGTCTCGCCAAGTTGCCCAGGTGGGTCTCGAACCCGCGGACTCAGGCAATCCACTCACCTCAGCCTCCTAAAGCGCGGGATTACAGGTTGAGCCACCAAGCCCAGCAGAGCACTCTTCTTACACATGCTATTTTTCAA